TGTCGATTATTGTCGACAGACGGCTTGCGTGACTGTCGAAGACCATCGTTATCGGACATCATCACTTGTCATCAACTATCTCGCGGACTGAAGCAGCATTCGCTACCTGCGGCGTAATTATTTAGTGAAGCAGCAACTCCTACTCAATCTTTACCTGACCCGGTTCAACCCGGTTAATAACTTATGGCTCCCCGAAACCTCCGCTCATTCTCCTACACTCTCCATCTTACTCTACACCTGCTCTCCGTCTTCTCCGCCGCTTCTTCCGCTGGATTAACCGAAAATGCTCCCGCGAGCGCTCCCGCCCCGTCTCCCGGCGACGACATAGTCCCTGATATTCCCGGTATAGACTACTCCGTTAATATCACGCTTCCTATCGTCTCAGGCACGTCAGGAGATCCCGTGGGGCCTCCCGTTTGTTTTAGCCAAGGGCTGTCTCCGCACCCGGTTCCGATCCCTTGTGGCGAAAATCCTCCGCAAACAGCCGCGTCGCAGACGGCGTCGCAGACGGCGTGGCCCGTATCGCAAATGCTGTCGCTCGCCAGCGCGCGACGATTCGCATCCACCAGAAATTCGAGTCGGCCTCTCGTGGATACTGACTCCACACCCAAGTTAACTCCCGCTACTGAGCTCTTCGATATATGCACGGGACAAGGTACGGCTCTTCGATATATGTAGTACTATCGTTCGACTCCGTTTTTCGCCCCGGGCGCCTGAGGTCTCGTGTGATCGTGCGGCTGAGGTCGCATGCGATCGAGAGACGGTCTTGGCATGCGATCGTACTTTCTGTTCGCACTGCATTGCTTTCGCCGCTATCCGCGCGCGCTCGAGTGCGCTGTCGTTGAACGAGTCCGCAAAAGTGCGGCTCACTCGTCGTCGCTCACTCGTCGTCCCTCACTACTCGTCGCTCACTTGTCGTCGCTCAGTACTCGTCGCTCACTTGTCGTCGTTCACTTGTCGTCGCTCACTCGTCGTCGCTCACTACTCGTCGCTCACTTGTCGTCGCTCACTCGTCGTCGCTCACTCATCCCTATCGCCCCTCACAGCTGCAAGTTCAGGCTAAAGTAGACTCGCGCCCTCCGTATCACCCCCCACCGTCGCTCACAGTCGTTCACAGTCGTTCACAGCCGCACACTATTTCCTAAATTAGCCTTGCGTATCGCCCTCGCTCGTCCCTTCGCCGTTATTCTATCCTCCTCACGCGACGATCTCACAAATGGTCTCCTCGCATCAAATTTTCTTTACGAATCAAACTTGATTCTTATTGCGATCTTTTCCGGATCCCGTGTCCGCCCTCCACCCCTGCCCTCCACCCTCCCCTTCTCCCAGCCTCCGCGTCAGCGGCTCTCAACCCACGCAGGGGGGGGCATTGAACTGAGAGTGTCCCGTCCCGCCTGCTCTTTCCCCTCTCCCCTTTCCCCCCTCCGTACCAACCTCCCCTTCTCCCAGCCTCCGCGTCAGTGACTCTCAACTCACGCAGGGGGGACATTGAACTGAGTGTGTTCCGTCCCGCCTGCTCTCCCCCCTCCCGCCCACACTCCCCCTCCCCACCACACGCCCCACTAACCCAGCCTCCGTGTCTGTGACCCTGAAGCCACGTAAGCGAAACACATGGCGGGGTTGGGGTACGTCCCTCTGCTGGTAAGCCGCAATCCCCCTGGTTTCCCTTTTCCCCCTTTTCCCCCTTTTCCCTTTTCTCCCTTTTCTCCTTTCTCCCTTTTCCCTTATCTCCCTTTTCCCCTTTCTCCCTTTTCCCTTTTCTCCCTTTTCCCCTTTTTTCCTTTTCCCCTTTCTCCCTTTTCCCCTTTCTCCCTTTTCCCCTTTCTCCATTTTCCCCCTTCTCCCTTTTTCCCTTTCTCCCTGTTTCCCTTTCCCCTTTCTCCCTTTTCCCCTTTCACCCTTTTCCCCTTTCTCCCTTTTCCCCTTTCTCCCTTTTCCCCCTTCTCTATTTTCCCCTTCCCTGTTCTCCCCTTCTCCGTTTTCCTTTTTCTCCCATTTTTCCCCGTTCTCCCCCTTTGTTCTTCTCGCCTTTCTCCCCTTTTCCCTTTTCTCCCTTCTCCCCACTCCACCCCTTTCCCCCCTTCTCCGCCATTCCCCGTTGTTCCCCATTCTCCCTTCTCCATTTCTCCCCCTTCTCCCACTTCCCCCCTTCTCCATTTCATTTCCCCCTATTTCGCCCTTTCCTGCTTCTCCCTTGTTACCCTTTCTCCCTTTTTTCCCTTGTCCCTTTTCTCCCATTTTTTCCTTTCTCCCTCCCTTTTTCCCTGTTGTCCTTTTTTTCCCTTCTCCCGTTTCCACCTTTCTCTCTTTCTCCCCTTTCTCCCTTTAACCCCTTCTCTCGTTTTCCCCTCTTCTCCCCTTTTCCCTATTCCCTTATTCCCCTTTCTCCCCTTTTCCCACTACTCCCTCTTTTCATTTTCTCCCCTTTCCCTCCTTTTCCCCTTTCCCCCTTTTTCCGCTCTTTCCCCTTCTCACTTTCCCCCTCCCCTCGCTGTTGTCCCTCGGTTCTTCGTTTTTCTCCCTTTTTCCCCCTTCTCCTGTTTTTTCCATTTCTCCCAATTTCCCCTTTTCTCCCCATTCTCTTTCTTCCGTTTTTTCTCTCTCTATTTCCCCCCGTCTCCCTTTTCTCCCTTTATCCCTTTCCCCCCTCCTCCCCTTTCCCTGCTTCTCCCTTTTCCCTCCTCCTCCCTTTTCCCTCTTCCCTTCCCCCGTCTCCCTTTTCCCCCCTTCTCCCTTTTCCCCCCCTCCTCCCCTTTCCCCCCTCCTCCCTTTTCCCTGCTTCTCCCTTTTCCCTCCTCCCTTTTTCCAAAATCCTCCCCTTTCCCCCTTCTCACTTTTCCCCACCTTCTCCCTCCACCCCCCCTTCTTCTCCCTTTTTCCTCCTTTCCTCCTCCCCTGTTTCGGATGGGGTACCTCCCACTGCTGGTAAGCCATTCCCAGTCCCCCCTCCTCCCCCACTCCCCATTCCCTTCATCCGCCCTCCCCCTTTCCCTGTTAGCCTGGGTGCAGCAGGGGGTATCTCATGCACCCAGGCTAACAGGGAAACAGGAACCTCATACTGTTAGCCTGGGTGCCAGTAAGTCCCATCTGGATAGCACCGTCCTCTCAATGTAACACCACTTCAATTTAATCACCATAACACTATTACATACTCCCTCGGAGTGGCACCACTGCTCTCCCACAATGCACCACCATTTCTCACCCCCGTTTCCCTGCACCCTCCCTCTTCCCATCCCATTTTTCCCTGCTTTTATCTCGCCCTCCCAGGCTAGGAAACTTCGTGGGAGGCTTCCCAGACGAGCACTTCAACCCGCTCATGGACCTCCTATTCTCCCCCTCGGGTCTAAACCTCAACATAGTCCGTTACAACATAGGAGGCGGCTACAATGCTACTAATAGCCCTCGGTTCCTAACTGGGTATGTCAAATGGCGGGGCATGCCGGGCTTTAAAGCCACAGAGGAAGCGGCTTATAATTGGTCTGCAGATGACAGGCAGAGGAGAGTTTTGTTTGCTGCCCGGCAGCGCGGGGCGGACCGGATCGATGCTTTTGCCAACAGCCCGCCGTGGTGGATGACAGTCTCGGGGGATGTTGCGGGCGCGCCTACATACGGGCAGGGTAACTTGAAAGTGGAATATGAAACGGCTTTTGCGGAATACCTCACTGACGTGGTGCAGAAGTTTGCAAGGGATAGAAGCTGGGGCAAGGGATTGGTGTTTGACACTTTGGAGCCGTTTAATGAGGCGTTGGAGGGGTGGTGGAAGCAGGGGGGAGGGCAGGAGGGGTGCAACATCAATATACAGCAAATGAGACGCATTTTGCCCAAGGTGCAGGCTGCTCTTGCAAGGAAGCAGCTTAAAACGAAGATCGCGGGGGTCGATAGCTTCGTGCAAACCACCCCGAGACAAATCGGGAGCATTCTCAGCCCGTTCCTGATTCGCTACAACGTGCACGGTTACATGAGCCTCGCACAAAACGGGATGAGTCCCGTCGAATTCACGACGCAGAATTTCCACGTGATGAAGGATATCTCGAAATCACAGGCGAAGGAGGTGTTTGTTTCGGAGTGGGGGCCTCTGAATCGAGGTGGGGAAGATACAGATGTTGCACTGTTCATGGCACGATCGATCATTGGGTCGTTGAACGTTCTAGAAGCTACTGGGTGGGTCTTTTGGCAAGCGATCGACCCTGTCGCGTCGTGGGCTTTAATCCACATCGACTGGTCGAAAACTCCGGATGCGTCTACAGAGTACACTCCGCCGCTGGTTTCCAAAAAGTTTTGGATTCTGAAGCATTTCACAAGCCTTGCTCCTCCTCACAGCAAGAGGCTGCTTATCAACAAGCCGGGCTGCCACTTTGGGATTGCTGCTTTCTACACCCCGAAGAAGAGATTGATAAGTGTGTTTGTGGTGAATCAAAAGGGTGCATCAAGGACGGTGAAAGTTCACATGCCTTGGTGGTTTATAAGGAATGTTGGTGGGAAAACAAAGGTGCGTTCATGGAGAACATCTTTCGCTGAGGACTTCGAGGAAATACACTACGGTAGAGGCACTAGGCCACTACGGTTTGAGATTCCTGGTCGGTCGTTTATGTCGTTTGCTATTACACATATCAGGTCCCTCGCTTAGGATTGTACTCAGTGACTGTATACGGTAGGTAGGTGCCTTCTAGGATTAGAAATACTAGTAGTGTACTACTGTAGTAGGTAGAAGTCAATATAGCATCTGTGTTGGCTTTTAGGCATTGAGGTATATGCTTTGCATTCTGCTGCCTTTTGATAGTACTGGTAACTAGTGTATGCCTTGAAGCCAACCCTGTTATTGCACATCTCGCACCATGTACGTTATCACCAAGTGAGCAGCACCAAATACAGAGAATCAATACAGGTAGGCAGGCAGGTTCAAACATGTACAGTTGTGGCTTATAACTAAGTATTGCAATCTAGCAAAACTTAATTTTGCAAGCAGCCAGTCCTCGCAAATATGCTGTCAAAATATTCCCCTATCTCACCTTCTTCGATTCTACCCCTGCCCTCTTCATCGCGAGCAGGATCTCCGTGCGGTAACTCGCGTCGTCACACAGAAAACTCCACCACACCAGCGTAAACGGCACTGTTGCCGCATGCCACAGTGAGTGCGCGTCAAAAAGGCCCAAAATCGGCGGGAAATCGTAGAGCTCAAGCAGTAAGGAAAAGGCCGTGCCGCCCGACACAAAGAGAACCTTCCAGGCGGACGGGTGCCGGCTGGCAATGGCCCAGATGGTCCAGAGCAGCAGCTGTGTGACTCCCATGGAAGTGCACACTACGATGTTCCAATCTGGAGAGGGGTGAGAGAAAAGGTGCAGTGGAGAAGAGGTGAGGTGCAGAAAATTGCTGGATGGCTATGGCCCAGATGGTCCACAGCAGCAGCTGTGTCACCCCCATAGCAATGCACAGAACGATGTCTCTATCTGCGTCAGGAGGAAGGGATTGTCAAGAGGAGGATTGTGAAAGGGGAGTTTGTTAAGGGGGAAGGGAAAGCTCCCTGGCGCTGCCACCACGACCCGTGTGGCCTCCTCCCTCAGGCTGCTGATGAAATGATACACATATGCTCGCCACAATCACACCCATTACATTCATCCTCGATGTAACCATAATCACCCACCAAAGTCGAAAGTGTAGAAGTTCATGTAGAATATGTGAGTGGTGGTGAAGGCGATCACAGGCGCTGCCACCATGACGCGTGTGGCCTCCTCCCTCAGGCTGCTGATTCGGATGATGCAGACGAGCAGCGAAATGCCGATGAGAGCGATGGCTGATGTGTAATCCCCTGACTGTGTCTCCCAGACGTCCCTGCAAGGAGGAGAGGGGAAGAGGGAGAGGACAGGGGTCGATGGAGAGGAATATTGCGAGAAAATCGGAAACAACATGCCGATGAGAGCAATGGACAATGTGAAAATCGAAAATGACAGGGGAGAGGAGTCAGCGGTTGAGCGTCGTGCAAGGTCATGTGTGTAACGACTCTGAACGTTCACCATTTTCTCATGCGCCGACAAGCTTGCCATTTCATGCTGCGTTGAACCCACTTGTGCGGCCAAAATCACCCTGATTCACCCACTTAAGACGTTGTCGCTCCTCCTTGACTCTTCGTGGCATCGAAAAAACTCCCTTACATGACATGCTTCAGGCGGAAGCTTCACGCATGAGCGTCAAGCGATGGCGAAAGCCAACTATGTGATCGACAGCAGCAGTGGCAAGCCGCGGAGACACGCCTGGGATAGTGTCATCTCAACTTGCCACTTCAGCCATCAATCTCATACTCACTAATGGTTGACGCTGTTGAACGATCTACGATCGAAGCATGTCATGTAAGAAGGTTCTATCGATGCCACGAAGCAGCAATGAAGAGCGACATCGTCTCAATGAGCAAGTGAACCAGTGTGGTGTTCGCCGCACAAGCGAGTCCAATGCAGTATGGAATGACAAGATCGTCAGCGCCAGGAGAAAACGACAATCGTTTGGTGTCGTTGCTCGCATAACCTTGCACGACGCTTGACCATTGACTCCTTCACCCTGCTTTTTTCAATATTGAACGTGGGACTTCGAAATATTGAAGTGCTAATGGCACCTGTATCAAATAACACACGCACCATATAGCACCTGCGCACGTACCGGGCATGGAAAATGGCGCTCCAGAGCCAGGAGTTGAGGGCGAAGAGCCCGTAGATGGCCATGAGCGTGGAGTACTCGTAGAGCGGGCCCTTGTTGCCCATGGGCTTGCGCGGCAGCTTCACATACACGAGACGCAGGAAGGTGTAGAGGCCGTAGAGCGTGGCTAGGAAGTTGAGGATGGAGAAGGCGGAGGACGCGATTTCCTGGGAATGAGGGTGAGAGAGTGATGTGAGGAGGGGGTCATGGAGCGAAGGAGAAAGAGAGGAGAAGATTACGCCTCAGTATGGGCAGGTTGGAGAGCGCGGAGTATTCATAGAGTGGGCCCTTGCCCTTGTTGCCCATGGGCTTGCACGGCAGCTTCACATACACGAGGCGCAGGAAGGTGTAGAGGCCGTAGAGCGTGGCTAGGAAATTGAGAATGGAAAAGGCGGAGGAAGCAAATTCCTGGAAAAAGGGGAGGGAGGAAGGGAGGGAGGGAGGGAGTTTTACGGGGCATGATCGACTATGAGGCAAGGCGAACTATGGGCCATGGTGGGCTGTAGGGCAAGGTGGGCTATGGGACACAAGAAACGTGTTGAGGTTGAGACTTTCCTGGAAATAAGAAACGCGGATGAAGGGTCATCTTCCGCAGTACTGCACTTGCGGCATGCCAGGCATCTGAATGTCACGCATGCACTGGTACTTGCACCGCTCACACAGTTATGCCTCGTTATAAGACAGGCCTTCGAACGAGTCTCACCTGAAATTAAATACGCGGATGTAAGGGCCATTTGCCATAGTACTGAACTTGAGGCACCCCAGGCATCTGATTGTCGCGCATGCACTGATACTTGCACTCGCTCTCGCGGTCATACCTACAAGCCTTGGAACGGGTCTCACCTGGAAGCCTAAAACGCGGATGAAGGGCCATTTGCCGTAGTACTGAACTTGAGGCACCCCAGGCATTTGAATATCGCGCATGCACTGGTACTTGCACTCGCTCTCGCAGTCCCAGCGTAGAAGTCGGAGCTCTAACGGAGCCGTCACCATTCCGTCAGAATCAGCTTCAGGCGGACAGCCCGGAATACAGTGGTCGCCCACGCATCCTGTTTTCTGGCAGTCAGCCAGGCACGTCCTGAAGAATTGACATGACGAGGAACAAACGGGACGGAAATGAAAAATACAGGGAGGGGGGTAGCAAGATAAGTGAGGAAAAATGACAGGAAGGGAGGGCAAAATACAGAAACGAAGGTAAAAATATAGGGAGGAGAAGGAGGGAGCAGCGCAATAACGTGAAGGAGAGGGCTAACAGGAGAGGGAGTGTTCGGAGAGTACTGAAGGAGAACCACCGCTGCCATAACGTGAAGAGATTAAGGGTTTGATGTACTTCGCATTAATAGAATACCAGAGACACTAAAAGCGACAGCATAAAGAGCCACATTCCCGAGCGATATCGTTTTTGGAAGGTGGTCATAGATAGATTAAAACTTTCTGCCACTTATGCAAAGTGGTGGAGGTACAGAGCGATGTATTATGACCGGCAACATCAAGAGCTACATTCCCGAACGGTATCGATTTCGGACAGGAGCTGGATGGTCACATATATATTACAACTTCCTGTCACTCATGGTGGTGGATGTACAGAGCGTTGTATTATAGATGGCACGGAACCTGCAGGCACCACGCGACGACCTAGACTGCGGTACCATGCGACGACCTAAGGTGCAGTACATTGCAACAATGTAGGGAATACCGTGTGATGCTACGATCTCGAATATGGTACGATGCGGAACCCACAGTACGTTACTGAGCGGACAAATTGACCAGATGCAGAGTTAGGATATGCTGTCAGATTTGAGGTTACATGAGATAAGAAGTCCATTATTGCGTCACTTGAATGAGCTACCGATACGTGAATGAGCAATTGAGACTGAAAGCATCAACGGATCCACAGCTTCTGGAGGGGAAACGCGGGAAAACGACGCAGACTGAAGAAGGGAAACTTGATCGAAGTATGGGGCTAATACGAGCAGATCCACTTCAATTATCGCTTATGTGGGACTTGTCGCGACGGCCACAGATAGCTGATTATATATTGATCAGTTTTACGTCGTCGATTATCTGGTTGTAGGCTGCCAAGAACAACAGTCACTAGACTGAAGCATATCAGTCGTTTTTGTTGTTAGCTTAAACCATTTCTTATTTACATTTATTTTCTTACGTAACGAGCGGTGTCAGTGTTTTACTTACTGAAATGTCGGATCCGTATCGCCAGCGCTGGCCGAGACTGAAGTTAGCAACGAAACAACGGCTGCTATGAAAATGGCTGCTTGTAAACCCCGCCGATCCATCGTGTCACTGTGTTCTGCAAATGGACTAAGCTAATAAATTCCCAGTCCAAAACTAGCGTTTCCTTATTCAGTGGCGGTCTCAACAGCCACTAATAAGTCCCAACTCCTGCCACAACCGGCAAACCGGCAACATGAAACGAAGCACCTAATCCAAACAACTTCATAGATCACTCTGGTCTAGAGTGGAGATAAATTTTGGATCAACGAAACTTGGAGGGTTAGGAGAACTTGGAAGGTCTCGGAGGGGCTGCGAGGATTGGAGAAGAGCGAGGGAAGGTTGAGAACGTCTGGAAGGATTTCAGGGCATTTTGATCGGGGTGGAAGAATGTTCTCGATGTTTTGAATGGAACCAGCCTCGAGATTGTCGAACTAAGCGAAACTGGCTAAGGAGCTATGGCTGGCGGGAACACAAGCTGGCGGAAAAGACTGGCAATTCCGCATGCGATCTATTGGCGGAAATCCGTAGCCCAGATGGCGATCCGTCGACGCAACAAGTGGACAGATGTGAGTGGATGACATTGCGCCAATATTGGGAGGCCTGCCTGCTTGTAGTTGGCGGGAAAAAGTGACACGGACGAGCAGGATGGCCCGAAGGCCTGACAACGAATCATCGGACGGATATTGAAGCCAGACTTGATCCGACTTTGAGCACTTCGACACGACTCAGCTGTTCAAAGCCGAGCAAACCTTTCACTGATATTCATTGGTGTAACAAATCAGCTATCTGTGCTGACTGCAAAATCCATAAATGGTTGCTCACATTCCTATAAACTTGACTAGGGGCTGCTCTCTATTGTTGCGCAGCAGCTAATAGCTTCTCATACACCTGTCTAGCTGTTAGATCTTCGACCTGCCAGCACATTTAGCCAGGAAAAAAAAAGGAAAAAAATGGGACACAAACAATGAGGATCGAAAGAAGAGATGCCAAAGCTATTGGTGAAATATACATAATCAGCCTTTACAAATGATCCGCTGTTCGGTGCACAGCCTGCCCTGCATTTACACAAAAACGCAGCTGCAGCAGCACAGACCATGAGCATCTGGACTTGGGAGGACCACCCTTGCACATACACGGTTATACATGGTTACAGCTGCTGCTGCTGCAAGACATACCATGAGCATCTTGGCCTTGGAGGATCGCTGCAGCTCCGATGCACTGAGTGCAAGCGCTTACACGTACGAACAACATCTAATAACTACTCATGCACATACGCAGCTGTTGCAAAGCCTACCATGAGCATCTTGGACTTGGGGGACCATCCTCGCTGTACCCTCAGTGCAACGAACACATACACGTACGAACAGAACCGTAACGTCCCATACAGGGTTACATGGCGGTAACCGCCCCGCACCTACCATGAGCATCTTGGACTTGTGCGACCACCCTCGCTGCAGTCTCAGCTGCACCAGACGTAGCCCCAGCGTCTGATTGGGTGGGGTGGGGGAGGCAGGTGTTTGGCAGGTGTTGTGGGGGGAAGTGGGGAGGTGTGGGGGGGAGAGGAGCGAGACCACCCTCGCTGCAGTCTCAGCTGCACCAGGCTCAGCCCAAGCGTCTGATGGGGTGGTGGGGAGATGACAATCGCATGCAGAGGAGCAACGGCAGGAGTGGGGTTGAGGCAAGTGTTTTGGGGGGAAGTGGGGAAGTGCGGGGGGAAGAGGAGAAAGACCACCCTCGCTGCACTCTCAGCTGCACCAAGCGCAGCCCCAGCGTCTGATGGGGAGGAAAAGGAGCGGGAGGGGTGGGGAGAGGGAGGCTCACATAGCGGTTGCATGCACATGATTGAGATTTGAGAGGTTCCTAGACATGGCAAGAATTGGTCGACTTTTGGGTCGACTCAAAACTCGACTTATCACACACGGGGTGCGGAGAGGGAGGCTCACATAGTGGTTGCATGCACATGATCGAGGTTTTAGAGGTTCCTAGACATGGCATGGTTGTATGGCGTGGCATGGATGGCGTGGCATGGCTGTATGGCGTGGCATGGATGGCGTGGCATGGCATGTATGGCGTGGCATGTATGGCGTGGCATATATGGCGTGGCATGTATGGCGTGGCATGTATGGCGTGGCATGTATGGCATGGTATGGCATGTATGGCATGGCATGGCACTGATGGTATGTATGAGGCGCTACCATCCCACCTTGGCGAGAAACTCCATCAGCTCTGCACTGGCCTCATTGCCCCTGTGCGCCGATGACGATTGGTGAGGATGGAGTGGTACGGAGTGGTAGGGAGTGGTATGGAGGGCATGGCATGGCATGTATGCACTGCCATCTCACCTTGGCGAGAAACTCCATGAGCTCTGCACTGGCCTCATTGCCCCTGTGCGCAGCTGCTGTCACTGCCACTCGCACATCGTCTGCATTGATGCCTGGTAAGGATGGGGCAAGGGGTGGTGACAGGGGGTTTGGGGCTGGGTTTAAGACGTCTTAAGAAGTGCCCCCCTGTGCGCACATCGTCCTCGTTGTGCCCAGAAGTGTCACTGCCAAGAGTTTCTTAAGACGTGGCACATTGTCCGCGTTGATGCCTGGTGCGAGGGAAGAGGGCGCAATACATCCAATATGTGCAAAGGTGAAGCTGGATAATCGGACAGATTTGAGAAACTCCATCAGCTCTGCACTGGCCTCGTTGCCCCTGTGCGCAGCTGCTGTCACTGCCACTCGCACATCGTCCGCGTTGATGCCTGGTGCGAAGGAAGAGGACACAATACATCGATATATGCAAAGGTGAAGTTGTATAATCAGATTGGCAGATTTGAGACATATAAATCGACAATTAAACATATTTGAGAAACTCTTGGAAGAAGCAGCCTGATATTAAGAAGATTCAAACTCGGTTAAAGCTTGAATACAAAAGATTTTGAGAATTCACATGGGCGTGTCATAAACTTTCAATGCCTATTATTCCTAAAGTTGACACAGTAACGAAGTGAAAGAGGTGACAAATTGACAGAGCAAGAGCGTGACTCAGTGAGCGATAAAATTGTGAGAGTAGGAGAGCGAAAGCGTGACAGTGTGAGAGAGTGACAGAGTGAGAGAGTGAGGGCGTATCCATGTTCAGGTCATGGGCACTGTTCCGGGCATCCGCAATTTGCGGATGACCCAAACAACATAAAACGCCACTTTGGGTCCTCCGAACTCATGCGGCCTCCAAAGAGCCGCGAAGGTTTTCGCGCCAAAATCACGCAGTCGTGAACAGTCGCATCCAATGGAGGGATGCCAGAACAGTTCGAAACATCCTTAGCAAGACCCATGCGAAACTACGCGAAACCCACCGGAAAAACACAACCGTCAAAATTCCCGGCGTGAATCCCCAAATGTTGGGAGCGCGACGCGGAAAATTCTTTAACCACTCATGGTCACTAGGGTCAATTTGCCGAGTGGTTGGGTGCAGAGGTGTAAGACGTGGGACATTGCCCACTTGTGACACTCGACTGACGACCGCCAAATTCTGGCAGTAAATCCAGAATCGTGCAACCAGGTGATTGGTTGGGGGTGGGTCGTGCACGTCAGTCGCCCAACACCTGCACATCGACCCAAAGCTGGGGCCGCGCGCGGCTCGGCAGCCCACTTCGGGTCATGCGCAAATTCCGCATGACCCAAACAGCAGCCAGAACAGTGCTCAAGACCCGAACATGGATACGCCCTGACAGAGTGAGAGAGTGACAGTGTGAGAGAGTGACAGTGTGAGAGAGTGACAGTGTGAGAGTGACAGTGTGAGAGAGTGACAGAATGAGAGAGTGACAGAATGAGAGAGTGACAGAATGAGAGCTTGGAACACGGCGTACGAAGCACAGCAGAGCGTTGAGCCCGTGTGGGTCCAACCGAGACTCATGCATCTAAACGCTTTACGTATTCAAAGGTGTGTGAAATAAACGTGTTTTGAGACGTCTCAAAACGAGACTCATGCATCTAAACGCTCTACGTATTCAAATGTGTGTGAAATAAAATTGATGACCTTGCTTAAACGCCCATCACATCACATCCCACATGAAAAATGAATGCGGCGTTACTGCAGCATGTAGTGTAAGAACCTTCACCGACTTGTGAGTAAGGGAGCATTAGAGTGAGAGCGTGACTGAGTGGGAGTGAGAGTGAGCGAGTGACGTACGAAGTACAGCAGAACGCTGAGCTCTATCCTCCACCTCTATTGCCACCTGCACCAACCCGCTGTCCAGCTCCTGAATGCACGGGGGTACTGGCGCATCCTGAGAGGTGCATAAGAGCAGCACAGCAGACAGCGGTGGGAAGAAGGGTTATAAGAACACGTTTAACCCTATCCTCCACCTCTATTGCCACCTGCACCAGCCCACTGTGCAACTCCTGGATGCACGGGCGGCACTGGTGCATCCTGGGAGGCACACAGAAAGAGAGCGGAAAAAGAACGGAACAGAACAGAGCGGAAAACAGTCATTTAGAGGAAGCATGAGACGCACATTGCCTTCCACTCCACCCCCGCTGCTACCTGCACCAACCCGCTGCCCAGCTCCTGGATGCAGGGCGGCACTGGTGCATCCTGGGAGGTGGAGACACCTCCCCTGCCACCTACACCAACCCGCTGTCCAGCTCCTGGATGCAGGGCGGCACTGGTGCGTCCTGTAGGGTACGTAACAGAGTAGAGGAAAGGAGGAGGCACGGGAAGAAACAGCAACTTTGCAGAGCATCTCAAAACAGTCATTCGAAGGAAGCATGGGAAGCACGTTGCGCCATACCCTCCTCTCACACATGAAGGGAATGCGGGTTCACCCCAACTGCCGAGGTGACTTTTGAGTCGACTCAAAAGTCACCTCGTTACTATGGCACACGACATTCGTTCAGAGGGAGCATGGGAAACACGTTGCGCCATACCCTCCTCTCACCCATAAAGGGTATGCGGGTTCACCCCAACTGCCACCTGAACCAAACTGTGCGGGTGTCAGCAGGAAGGCTAAAAACCTTGGCTCCATCCATGCTCTCCCCGCTGCGCTGCGTTTACCTGCCTGGCTGTTACGTTTATGTGAGTACCTTAGTCTTGGTTCTTGAGTCGACTCAAAAATAGACTCATTACACTTGGTGTCGGCAATAGCGTCAGTGAGCGCATCAGCAGGAAGGCTAAAAACCTTGGCGCCCTCCATTCTCTCCTGGCTGCTCTGCGTGTACCTGCCTGGCTGCTCTGCGTGTACCTGCCTCTCTGCTATACCCCACCATCCCTGCTGTGTGTGTACATTGCTGTCGTGAGGAAGCGATACCTTAGGCTTGTTGTCGGCAGTGGCGTCACTGAGCGCATCAGCAGGAATGTAGACGAATTTGGCGCCCTCCATGCTTTCCTCGCTTTCTCTGTGTGCAACTCGCCGCCGTGCGCGTGTGTGTATTCATGTACGCGAGGTAGTAAGTGCGAATACCTTAGGCTTGGTGTCGGCAGTGGCGCCAGTGAGCGCATTAGCAGGAATGTAGATAACCATGGCATGGCGTCATGTCATCCATGCTCTCCTCACTGCTGTCTGTGCCCCTCGCCCCTATAAAAACACGTTGCTGCTGCTGTGCGTGTGAGTAAGTGATTGAGTAAAAACGAGTACCTTAGGCTTGGTGTCAGCAGTGGCGCCAGTGAGCGCATCAGCAGGAATGCACACAAACTTGGCGCCCTCCATGCTCTCCCCGCTGCTCTGCGTGTACCTGCCTGGCTGTTACTTTTATGAGGAATGTAGACAGACTGCGTGTTCCTGCCTGCTCTGCGTGTACCTGCCTGGCTGTTACTTTTATGAGGAATGTAGACAGACTGCGTGTTCCTGCCTGCTCTGCGTGTACCTGCCTGGCTGTTACGTTTATGAGGAATGTAGACGGACTGCGTGTTCCTGCCTGCTCTGCATGTACCTGCCTGGCTGTTACGTTTATGAGGAATGTAGACAGACTGCGTGTTCCTGCATGCTCTGCATGTTCCTGCCTGCTCTGCGTGTTCCTGCCTGCTCTGCGTGTTCCTGCCTGACTCTTACGTTTATGAGAGCACCTTAGGCTTGGTGTCAGCAGTGGCGCCAGTGAGCGCATCAGCAGGAATGCACACAAACTTGGCGCCCTCCATGCTCTACCCGCTGCTGTGCGTGTGTAGTTCACAGGTGCGTGTGTATACTTGAGTAAGCAAGTGAGTAAAGTGTGGATACCTTAGGCTTGGTGTCGGCAGTGGCGTCAGTGAGAGCGTCAGCAGGAATGTAGACGAATTTGGTGCTCTCCATGCTCTCCTCGCTCCGATAAGCCACCATCACCCCGCACTCCCCACAACCCATGCGATACTGCCTCTCCACCTTGCCCTCCCCTCTGTACAAGCGGGAAAATGAGAAAAGAACAAGGGGAGGAGGAGAGAGGGGATGATGGGTACAAGAATGCACCCTCCTTCCTTATTTCTCGAGTTGATTCAAAACGCCTTCCATGCTCCCCTCACTGCGATACGCCACCAGCACCCCGCCATGCTCCCCTCGCTGCGATACGCCACCAGCACCCCGCACTCCCCACATCCCATGCGGTACTGCCTCTCCACCTTGCCCTCTCCGCTGAATGAGCGGGGAGAGGGTGGGGCGTTAGGGGGGGGCGGGGGGGGAGAGAGGAAGTGGGTGAGGGTAGGGTGCAGGGGTTAAGGTCCATTTATCATACCATACCATCACTTTGCATTCCCCACACCCCCTCCTTGCTCTCTTCTTGAGCATTAGGTGAGGCGCACGAGGTGCCAATGGTGTGGAGCGTGCTTTATTGTGCCCCATCACACTCAACCGCACTCAAATCACACTCTACCACGCTCAACCACACTCTATCACCACTCACCGCTGGAGCAGCTGCTTGCCGGTCTCCATTGCGTTAAAGGCGCATGAGGTGCTTCTGGTGTATAGAACGGGAGGGTGGTTGACTGCGGTAAAGTGTGGTTGAGTGTGGTGGGCATGCGAGAGACTCACCACCGCTTCAGCCTAAGTTGGAAAAAACGTGTTTTGCGTTTTGTACAATTTTGTATAAACGCTAGAGTATAAACGCAAAACGCAGGCCATGAGGGGTCTGGTACGCACAAGAATACGCTCGCCCGGGCAGGAAAAAAGTTTTTCCCGGGCAGATTTTTGGGGTAAGAGGTGGGGATGGGGGCTGTTGTAACCCCCATCCCCTTTTTATTAATATGAAAGTTACAGGAAAAAAACCCCTTAAAATTAATCTCCCACTACAACTTCCCCCACCTTAGTACTCATCGGCCATCACATCATCCTTCCCCCTCCTCAGGTTCCTCCACCTCCTCCTCGACGTTGTAGCCAGCCAGAGTGGGGGGCTCCTCGATGTTTCCCTTCACCACCCCTTGCCCTTCAGGGACCTTGTGCCAATTGTGCACAACCTGCCAATTGTGCGTCACGTACACGAGGTCCCGAAGCTTCTCCGCGCCGAGACGGTTCCAGCGTGCCGTATGCACGGCATCAAACTTTGCCCAGTTCCGCTCGCATGGTGACGCGGACACCGGCTGCGTGAGCATGCAGCAAGCAAGCGTGGTGAGCTTGGGATGATCGGTCCCGTGCCACGACCACCAGGCCACCGCGGTCATCTTGCCCTCCTTCACTACCACACGGTCGGCAATAGCGTCGGGCATGCCGAAGCAACCCGTCAGGTTTAAAAAGGTAGTGAGGCCTTCCTGGATGACGAGGGAGGCGTGGCGCTCAACCCCGTCCTTCCTGGTGATGGTCTAGTCGTCGAAGTGCTTGGACACGAACTTCTTGAAGATCCTCATGCACTCGGGGTCATGGCAGAAGATGCCCTCTTCCTGGTTGGTCGGGTTGAGGATGCAGCCAACCAAGTGCATGTCGCACGCCAGCCCGTTGTCCCAGCGGTCCTGCACGATCTCCCGAATATCCCCCACCTCTCCGCTTGTCAGGACCCCTTCCGCATGCTCGTCGAGGAAGTCGCGGATGTCCTCGGTGAGCTGGAGCATGAGGTTGTAGAGACGACCCATCATGCCCTTCGCATCCGAGTCCGTCTTGCGCATGACGACGAACGGCAGCTTCATCACCTTAGCGAAGAACTCGGCGAGCGTCCACCACGTGTCATCAAGGATGTTGACTTTGAAGGTATCTGCCCCTACCCTCTTTGCAGTCGTTGTCCAGTTGCGCCACTCATCGCTGAGGACCATCTGCGTCGAGCCGGCGCACACTTCACAGAGGCGGTTGATGGCAATGTAGTTGGTGCCGAATCAAGTTCCCGCGGGCTTGAGAACCTGCTTCCCCTTGCCGCCGTTCACGAGCTTGCTCTGCATGTATCCGCAGGTAAAGTGATGGTTGCGGACGAACGAGATGAGGGTGTTCCCGCGCGTGACGATGTCCTTCGCCCATCCCATTTTCCCGATGTCCTCCATCACGAGATCAAGGACATGGGTCGCGCACGGGATGTGTTCGATGTGGGGATACTCCGTCATCAACTCCCTGCAGGCCGCCACGTAATTGGACCCGCCGTCAAAACACAAGGCCACGACATTCTCGGGGCCAACCTTCTCGATGACGCGACGTAAGATGCCCGCGATGTAGCCGCCGGTATTCATCTCCATCTTGGTGTCAATCGACTCCACGAACACCGCTCCGCTATCGCTGATGAGGAGGACATTGGCTTGCGGGCGGCCGGCCTTGTCAGAGAACATGTCGCTTGCCATGGTGACACCGTCACGGCGCCAACTTGCTGAGATTGGAGCGAGAGGCGCCTCAATGCGCTGGCGCCACTTTGCAAGACCGGCTCCACCGATGTAGCGTCTCTTCGGCGCTATGTAATTCGGCCCCGCGCGCTTGATGCTGGAGACTACATTCCGCCACGGTGGGTGGTTCGCGTGATGCTCCGGCACATGAAGAGCGGCGAAGAAGAGGCATATGGCCTCGTCCGCAGCCTGGTTCGCGCACGCGGCGTCATCGCCGTAGAAGTCGGTCATTCGACTCTTCTTCTTGTCTGAACCGCTGTTGACTGCGTCGACCGCCGCAATTTCAGCCGCACGCTTCGCTTCACGGGCCTTCAACTTGGACTCGTAATGCGCCTTCACGGCGTCACGTGCAATCTTCGGCGCTGCAGTGCAGTGATGCACTTCGCGACGGCGCATGCCGTTCCAGCCGGTGATATGTTGCGCGCAGCGGTAAACCCCGCCAACGAACTTGAAGTTGCACTAGGCACACACCTTGGTGCCGTTCTCGCCAACGCTATCGGCCGGACATTTTGTAGTGGCGGTACACAGCGTGCTTGCTGTCCATAGAGACCAAAGCCGTAACGGAAGAGGTCCCTCCAACGGAACTACCAGGAGCCTCTGAGGTGAAGAACGAGAACTAGTTGCTGTAGGAGTAGCAGCCATGGTTGCTGGGGAGAAGAGGTAGCTAGAATATGAAGAGAGAGAATGAATATCAAGTGAACAAATGCCCCTCTTTAAGCCGGGGAGATTGTGTTGGGCTGAGCTCCCTACCAGTGAAGTAGTGGTTGAAGGGGGTGGTGGAATGCTGTAGCTTTAAGGGGTGTGAAACGGTAAAGGGGTGGGGTTGAGGAGGTTTGGAGCACAAAATTCAAAATTCGAGTTCAGTTCGCGACATCTGAGACTCGAAATCGAGATCGCCACGTCGCGAGCTTCAGATTGATTTTTTTTTTTTTTTTTTTTTTTCGGTCTGCTCGAAATTAAACTCGGCGAATTTTCAAAATATACGCACCGAACGAATTCGTTAAGAGTATAAACGCAAAACGCAAAAGCAAAGTAGCGTATATTCCAACTTAGGCTTCAGCAGCTGCTTGCCAGTCTTCATGACGTTGACTTGCATGAGGTGCCACCACTCTCAATTGCACTCCACCACCGCTCACCGCTTGAGCAGCTGCTTGCCGGTCTCCATGACGTTGAGTCGCATGTGGTGATTTGCTTGCTCCATCACCATCGCCCCATCCATCCGGTAGCTCTGCCAGATGAATGTCCTCCTGTCACCACTCACCACCGCATTCAACCACCACTCAACCGCACTCCGCCACACTCTACCACTACCAATTGCACTCCACCCATCCGTCCTGCGCCGCGGCAGCTCTGCCACCACTCTCAATCGCACTCAACCACTGCTAACTGCTTCAGGAGCTGCTTGCCGGTCTCCATGACGTTAAGGCGCATGAGGTACTTCTCTTTCTCCATCACCATCGCCCCGTCCGTCCTGCGCCGCAACTGTCTGCCTGGCACCACTCTCCACCGCATTCAACCGCACTCAACCGCACACTCAACCGCACTCAACCACACTCAACCACATTCAACCGCACTCAACTGCACTCAACCACCGCTCACCGCTTGAGCAGCTGTTTCCCAGTCTCCATGACATTAAGGCGCATGACGTGCTTCGCTTTCTCCATCACCATCGCCCCATCCGTCCTGCGCCTCGGTAGTTGTGCCAGCTGACTGTCTGCCTGCCACCACTCTCAACTGCACTCAACCACTCTCAACCACACTCAACCGCACTCTACCACCACTCACCGCTTGAGAAGCTGCTTGCCAGTCTCCATGACATTGAGTCGCATGAGGTGCTTAGCTCGCTCCATCACCGTCACCCCATCCATCCGTCCTGCGCCGCGGCAACTCTGCCAGCTGACTGTCTGCCTACCACCACTCTCAACCGCACTCAACCTATCTCAACCACACTCAACCGCACTCTACCACCACTCACCGCTTCAGAAGCTGTTTGCCGGTCTCCATGACGTTAAGGCACATGAGGTGCTTCGCTTTCTCCATCACCATCGCCCCATCCGTCCTGCGCCGCAGCAGCTCTGCCAGCTGACTGTCTGCCTGCCACCACTCTCAACCGCACTCAACCACTCTCAACCACACTCAACCACACTCTACCACCACTCACCGCTTGAGCAGCTGCTTGCCAGTCTCCATGACATTGAGTCGCATGAGATGCTTAGCTCGCTCCATCACCATCGCCCCATCCGTCCTGCGCCGCGGCAGCTCTGCCAGCTGACTGTCTGCCTGCCATGCCATGCCCACACCCATACATGCATGTGCAAGCCACAGCGTTTTCAGCAGCACCCATGCAGCAGTACACCGTTCTGGAGCATACCCGTTATAAACACCTACCTGTTATAAGAACATGCGCGCCGCACTGCTTTCAGTAATACACGATCAGCTCCCGCGTATCTGCCAGCGGGTCCTTGGGATATAACAGCTTACCAGTTATAAGAACATACCCGTTATAAACACCTGCCTGTTATAAGCACGTGTGCGCCGCATTGCTTGCAGTAGTACACGATCAGCTCCTGCGTATCTCCCTGCGGCTCCGCGTCCTCGCTAGAGTACGTGCGCGTCGTGCGCTTCGGCATGCTCGCGGCTTAACGCTTCAAGATCGTTATATCCCCGAAAAAGACGGGCCCTCTACTGGGTGTAGAACGTGGAATATTTTCGCTATATAAATTGCTAGAAAATAGATAACTACTACACGCACTGATATTCACCACGGAGTCACGCCTTGGCTGGTGGAAGCCGAAACGAGCCACTACGAAATTAGATCACGCGAGCATATACGGAGAAATCACCGAAATCACCGATAGAATCACACCCTCCCCGTGGTATCAATCAGCTCAGGATTCGAAAATCCCCACCGAGCTCTGAGACGCCTCAAAGGTCGATGGTCGATATGGACACGTCTCCTCCACCCAATCAGCTCAGAATTTGAGACTCCCCACCTATCGAGCACGAAACTCAGGACAAGAGTGCCAGTGAGTTAGCTGCGTTAAAACTGCATTGTTCTGGAATCTCTTTTGTAACGGCACACCCTAGTAACACTCTCTGAATGCTAGACCACCCTGATAGCACGCCCTAATTGCTAGACCACCCTATGAACACCCTCTGAAGGCTGCAGGCCTCTCTAGCGCCACGCCACCAGAACGCGTTGGCACAGTCGATGAACGGTACACGACTGTGCCAGTCAACACGCACAGTCGCGCGCTGACGGCTAATAAGGTACGAGAAATGAGAACGAATGAAGGCAGCCACGTCTTAGATGGATAAACGAGCAGATGCAGAGAAATAGTTATTACGCGGCAGTACCGCCTTGGGTGCTGTTTGTAGTCCGAAGCGCTGCTGCTGGCGATTGCGATACTCCACGCACCAGAGTCATCTGGAGCGGTTCACTTCGGTGCTTCACGATCTTACGAGGTGCGGTGGGAAATTTCGTTTCAGGAAAGTGAAACTGTGTAATGCTAGCTAACTAACTAATTAAACACAAGCCCATTGGCCATGCAATTTACCCAAAGCACCCCAATCATTTCCAGATAAGAACTACCTACCAAGTACCATGCCTACACCGTCCAACCTTGGTTTAAGACTCTGGAACCTTACCTCCAACATGTAGGTACAAGGGCCAATCAGGCTTCAAACAGCCTCCTGCCAGCAGATGCACATCCCCCTGTATCTACCCAACCATCTATTGACACATGAACCAAAAGCACAGTGTGCCATGCAGTCAACATGGTACAGTTTCATTTCCAGTGCACTCCCATGCAGCAGCAGGCATTGTTGCACCTGCTTGTGTCGCCAGGTATTCAAGGCGCCTTTTGAGGCGCCTCAAAAGTCCTCAAATGTGCCGCCAGGTATTCAAGGCGCCAAAAATATCATCTCCATCCTGAAGGAGAGGGTGTGCTGCGTGCAGTGCTGCAGTCGTCATGGCATCCTCACGCACCCAGCAGCAGCATGTTCACATGCACCAGACGTTGCTGCAGAGCTGTGAACATCGCCAGGATTTCGAGTTGTTAGAATCGCCACCCGCTGCTGCTTCTCCGCTTCCCCTTGTAAAGCCAGCTGCCGCATCCCTTTCGCCAGCAGTCCCACCACCTCTGCTCCTCCTCCTCCTCCTCCTCTGCCGCCTGGCAGGGCGCTCCTGCATTGCTGGTGGAGACAAGTGGCACGGCAAGGGGTCCTGAACGGCCCTTCATCTAGTTTCAGTGGTTGGTTCACTGACATGAAAGCCACTGGTGCATTTTGCACAATGGAGCTGAACGAAGAAGCAGCAGAAGCAGCAGAAGAGGCAGCAGAAGCAGCAGAAGAAGCAGCAGCAGCAGCAGCTTCAGTACGAGTTGCAACAGCTGCACCAGCACCAGAAGCAGCAGCAGCCGCAGCAGCAGTAGGAGGTATTCCATCTCCCAAACGCTCTGCAGAGACAGCAACGCGGCGGGAGTAAGCAGCAGTCCACTTGGCAGCCACGTATTGGTGCCTGCGCCACGGTGGTACGTGCATCCCCTGTGCGTGGATCGACTGCCACACCGCCTCGCACAAAACTTTCACCAGCTGGTGCAGCCGGTCCGGGCAGCCCACAAAAAAAAGTGGGGTCAGCTGGAGGATGAAATCGTAGTGCAGTGTGCGATGGGCGATTTGGAACTGTGCCCGGAAATCGGGGTCGATTATTAAACGGCTGGGCAGACGGTTGGGGGAGGATGGTTGAAGAATGACGTCGCAGTAGTCATGGCAGCCTGTGATTAGGGGAAGAAAGAAGGGGAGGTAGGGAGGGGAGAGGGCGGGGGGAGGGGTGAGGTGAGGTGAGGCGAGGGGAATAGAGGAGGGGGAGATGGAAAGGAGGGGTGGGGAGACGAGGATGATAGGACGAGAAACAAAAAAGAGTGGAAAGAAAAAATAGTGGATAGATAAAAGAAAGGCCAGAGCACAGCCACCGAGATAGGGCCCACTCTGGGTACAGGATAATGTCACATACTCATGGAAGCCTGAAACCAGGGGAAGAAAAACGGGAAGGAGGGAACCGGAGAGAGGGGGGGGGAGGGGGAGGGGAGTTGGGGGAAGGGGGAGGAAGGGAGACAGAAGGAAGTGCAGGAGGGTGAGAGGACATGGATGATTTGTGAGAGACGAGTGATGCATGCGGAATGGCGAGTGAAGCTTGTATGCAGGAAAAGGCGCGAGCAGGAAGCGAAGGGGAAGTGGCAGGAAGTCAAGACAATGCCAGAGCAAGTGAGATAGAGTCCAGTTCATGGCGAATCATCCGCATATAACTGCATATCATTTTGACTCGCAAGTATACGAAAAGAACAGAAAGAAAATCAAAGAAAAGGAAACAAAAAAAGAGGAAGGAAAATGAACTCAGAAGAAGGAGAAGAAGAAGAAGCCTTATATGGTGCAACAGTACGAAAGCTGGCACTGTAAGTCTCTCACCCTTGAATAATTCCAGTGTGCATGGTAGATTGACTCGATTGACCAGTCACTGCAGCTTTGCTCTTACCATGAGGGAAGCCGTTGAAGCACTTCCAGTGAGCATGGCACACTGCAGCGTCGTATCCCCTCGCCTGCAACTTTTGAACAACCAGGTTGTGTATGCTGGCGCTGCTGCTGCTGCTGCTGCTGCTGCTGCTACCGTTGCTGATACTTCTGGTGGTGATAGCGCTGCTACTGCTGCTGGTGTTGCTGATGCGGCTGCTGCCGGTGCTGCTTCTGCTACCGTCAACAGGTGTGGTGGTGGGAGCGTGTTTCATGGCAGCAGAGACGATCTCAAGCACTGCACACTCCTCTGGCGTCTCACAACAGCTGAGGGTCTGCTATGGGGAAGAGTGGAGGCGGGAGGGGGAAGAGGGACGGGGAAAGAGGGTAGGGGGAAGGGGAAAAGGGGAAGAGGGAAGTGGGGAGTAGGGGCGGGTGGGGAAATGATGCACGAACAGGGAAGCACACGAGCAGACGGATGCGGAATGAGACAGGTGTAGTGATGGGAGCATGTTTCATGGCAACAGAGACGATCTCAAGCTCTGCGTTCTCTTCTGGCGCCTCACGGCAGCTGAGGGTCTGCTATGGGGACATCAACAGAGAGGAAGCGGGAAAAGAATGTGGGATGAATAGGAAATACGCACAAACAAGCGCACACAGGAAAATACAAGAGAGACAGACGCATGATTCAGAAGAACAAACGAAATGAGGTGGAGAAACAAAGGGAACGCAATAACATGGGTGGTTGAGTGCCGAGACAGCTCAAATGCAGCGCGGAACAACGATAAGGAAAAAACAAAACAGAAAGAAAAAAAAAAGAGAAAGATTAGCAAGACTGGGATATTTCTCCCTCTCCGGATATTGCTCCTTCTCCTTCTCCAGCTACAACTGCGAGCCTACACCCTCAGGCTTGCACCCTCAACCTTGCACCCTCCACCATAAGGCTTCAAGTTTTACTGACCTCGACCAATGAAGCAAGGCGTTCAAAGCTGTCCGATGCTCCAAATGCCCGAGACTCTGTAACCCGTCGTCCATGGGGATGGTTACGCGCGTTCGCAACCGCTGCTTCTGCTGCTGCTCTTGCTCCTGCTGCTGCTGCTGCTGCTGCTGCTGCTGCTGCTGCTGCTGCTGCTGCTGCTGCTGCTGCTCCTGCTGTTCCTCCTTTCCCTGTTGCCGCCTTCCACGTCTGCCAGGTCCCGCAACACCCGCGGTCGTCATCGCCAGTAGCGTCGCAGGCAACGTCACAAGAAACGTCACAGGCATCGCAGGGGTCGCAGGCATCGCACTCGTTCTCGAGATAGTCACACACCATTTCGCCAAGGCACAGGGAGTCACACGAGGTGCCGCTGCTGCTGCCATGGGTCGAACTGTAACAGCAAGGAACAAGAAATCGTCGATTTAGGATTCTACAAAAAGTAGGGGAGAAGATAGAACGAGAGAAGCAAGGGAAGAAGGCGAGCGGTACGTAAGCTGACGGTCCAAGATTGGAACGTTACTCGCTGTCGAAGCGGCCAGAGCATGGCCATAGTGGTAACCCGCCGAAGCAAATTCGGCGAAATCGATGCGCGCATTTGCCGGTCGGACGATCGGATTTCACTGACTGACCTGTTGCAACTGCCGTCGGGCTTCTTGCAAGGAGCGTGGTTCACGTGGCATATCAAGTGACGGCCGGCCGGCATAACAACCAGGGTCGACTCGCGAAAGGCAGTCGTTTTCGTCTCAGCAACAACAGATTCCATTGGTCGAGGCTGGATCTGATCGGTTGAAATTTCCGCAAACGCGATGTTACTGGTGATCGAAGGGAGAGGAGGAAGGAGATGGTTGGTTACGGCAACTTTTCCAATGGACGGTTGGAAATCGGCCTGGCAGGTGGAGCTCGTGTCTAGGTTAATAACGCTGAGGAGCCCCGACATAGTTCCGAAAACGAACCGAGTATAGGAATGATCGCGAGTGCCGAAAAAGACGGAAGTTTCTAATTTCCTGGCCGCTTTGAGATGGCTAATTCGGCGAAGAAATGCGACTCAAGTAACTGAAGACAAGTGTGTGATCCCCCAAACATGCGAGAGCAAAATATGCCTCCGACCTAGAACAAAATGCAATGGAGAACTATTACAAAAGCATACTTGCAAAGAAGCATATATGCCAGCAATAACAGGAGTATTCTGCATGGTTGGATTCATGGATCTTGGAATCCTACCCTTCTGGTGCTGTTCCCTAGGAAGGCCAGAGTGGGACCAGCTAAGCCAATCACCCAAATCCATGGCTGCTCTGGATGGGGGAAACCGAAGTTCCAGAAGCGGTTGCGTAAGCGGCAAGGTTTCTGGTTCCCATTGGAAACAGATGGAACGAAGCTACAGACGCTGAGGTGGACGGCCATGGTTCCCGCATGCCTCCCAGCAGTGGAATCCATGGCTGCAGTTCAATGCAGATAGAAAGAAGCTGCTGTACTCGTACAGCCAGCTGCTGCTATTTGGACGGTCATGGTTTCTTGTTTTGGTGGGATGATTTGAACTGTCACCGTACTGGAAAGTATTGTAACACACAGTATTGTATAGAGCCGCTTGTCACCCTGTCCCTGGTGAAATCAGGAAGAACCTGGATCTCCTTGGCGGGAATACCTCGCCAAATTCGAACATCCAGGCTGACATTGAAGCGCGTGCTAACGTACGTACGTTCGAGACGTGGATGAAACAAAATGCTACTGTACCTTCATGGTAGAGGATTCTGACCACTCGAGAAAGAGCGGTGAAGTTGTTCCGGATAATGCTGTCATTCAGAATGTGGAGTGGATGTGGAAACCGCATGCAAGTCACCTGGCCTGAACCCTGACCGACGCGTTGGAATCTACTGCACTGTAGTAAGTTGCGGCTCGGAAAGTTTTCAAATATTGCGCACAAATTCACATCATAGAGAAATTGGGCTCACATGCGTAAAACCTAGCCAATTGTAAGGAATTTTCTCGATATTCCTTAGCGCACCCTGCAACACCGCGTACAGCAGCAGCCGTTGTTCGCCCGTTACTTGCTAACGGGGCTTCGCCGACTTCGCGCGCACTGTTTTCCCAAACCTCGCACTGCTCGACCGGCCGTGTCGGCCTACGCTTCGGGACTAGCCCGAGCCTCGCTTCCAGCGTAGCACCAGCTAGCTCGCATGCACCGCGTTACCGTTTGCATGTTTCGCATATAAATGTTCGCTCATGCCTTCGCTCATTTTTTTTACTCGCTTGACACCTTAGTGCAATTCTCGCTACCTCGATTCATTGCACCCGTAACACTTGGTTATCATAGCCTCTTTATCTTCTGACCGCGCATCTCCGCACCCTAAGAAATCAACTTTTGATTTTTCACTCGAAGGAACTCACGCACCTTAGCCCCTAGGAGCCGCTGTCATCGCGTTCTCACGTAAACATGTGCAGCCACGACTGCGCCTAGACTAAGCCGAGCCGACGTCCCTCGTAATGGCTGAGCACATCGATGTCGCGACCCTCACGCAGGAGCACATGAACGAACTGCTGCGGCAAATCCGCGAAAGCTCTGAAGAAATCGCGGCGCTGACGGCAAAACGCACATCCATGCAAAACGACCTCGTACGCCGCAAGTGATAGCGTCGTCCGCCATGACGGAGACGACGACCACAGCACGACACACCCCGACGCAACGAGTGCGGCCAGGGATCAACCGCGAGTCACTATTTCGGTGCCGGCCGGCGAATCAACCTTACCGTTGCCGATGCCGCTGAAGCCGCAGCGTCCGTCATGCTTTGACCCAAGTCAGCAGGGTGGTCCTACCGTTCAGGCATGGCTCTTCACGTTGAACGTTTTCTTCGACGCGAACTACGTCTCGGAGGATACGGCGAAGATTCGTTACGCCGTGTCGTTGCTGCGAGGACCCGCCATGGACTGGTGGCGTGTCATCGTCACGAAGCTGGTGGACTACGCGACTCTACCGACACGGGAAGGACAAACCGGACCCTGGGCGCCGTCGTATTTCGTGGAGGTGCCCCAGTATCGCACGTGGGACGCGTGGTGTGCAGGTCTGCGCGTTCGTTTCGAGCCAATTGCGGCTTCGATCGCGGCGCGACAGAGGCTCCACACTTGGAGCCAATTGCGGGTTTCTGGCGCTATGCGAGCAGGTGGGATACATGCATGAGAGCGAGCGCACCGAGCACTACATCGGCAGCCGGAACCAGGACATCGCTCAGGAAATCCAGCTTCGCGGCGTCACCAATTTTCAAGAGATTCTCGCCATGGCGGAGAAACTCGATTTCTTCCACCGACCGAGACCGGGGTCCTACGGGAGCAGCAATTGGGGACATCGGTTGTGGAAACAAAGAACGAGAATGAAATGACTATGAACGAAGTGAGTACAAATAGGAAACCCTAATTGGGTGTACCCCCTATGGGATACCCCACTATAGCCTACAGAAACAAGTAAGCTATAAGTTCTGACACACCCCCATAGGCAAAGTGGGGGAGAACAAGGGGTCACAAGACCAGTCAAGCAAAGCAAAGCAAAGCTCAGGGTGGATCACAAAGTCACCACGCATTCCGAGCACAAGTTCAAAGGCCACAAGGCCAGTTCACATGCAAGATCATATATAGAGATATACAAGAGCAAGAGTATATATATGCGAAAGTACAAGCAAGGTCAAGAGGAGAGCAAGTGAGGCAAGACAGGCACAAGACCCAACTGCGTGCAGCAACGCTGATGATCACAAGGCGCAAGTGCCTTGGTGAAGACATCAGCAGTGTTGGCCTCAGAGGCCACGTACGCAAGTCGCAGCTGTCCACGCTGCTGTAGCTCACGAGCAAGAAAGTAGCGAAGAGCAATGTGCTTCGTTCTGTGCTCCAGTCGCTGTTCTCGACACAAGGCCAGCATGGCCTTGTTGTCTACGTACAGGACTGGAGGAGAACGAGGCTGCTCTCCAAGGTCGGTCAGCAGGTAGGTGAGCCAGCGTAACTCCTGTGCAGCCATAGCCCTAGCGTAGATCTCAGCCTCACAACTGGAGCCGAGAACAGAAGACGAGCGGGTAGCCCGCCACGAGACAGAGCCGGAACCAAGGCTGAAGGTGTAACCCTGTGACGACCGCTGCGTAGCCTGGTCGTCAGCCCAAGAAGCGTCTGCGTGCCCAGTGAGGACCACTGGACTGCGCCCTCCAAGCACTAGCCCCATGCCCGACGTACTGCACAAGTAGCGCAACACCCTCTTCGCTGCAGCCATGTGCTCTGGTCGGTGTCTCCCAGGAGCAACAAAGCGTGCGAGAATGCTAAGAGGGTATGCGAGGTCAGGTCGTGTGCAGGTCATCAGGTACATGAGGCAGCCAACAAGCTCTGCAAACGGGCCACTCGACTCTACGGACTCATCCGAAGGCAGAGCTGAGAGCGAGTGGCGAGTAGGCAGAGGAGTGGCCTGAGGCGAGGAGTACGTGAAGCCGAAGCGCTGAAGGACCTGCTGCACCATGTGTGACTGAGTCAGGGTAATGGTGCGGCGTGCTCTGTCCCGGGTGATCTGCAAGCCAAGGTAGCTGCGCAGTTCACCCAGGTCAGTGCACGTGAGTCTCTTCTGCAGCTCGGACTTCACGTAGGCGAGTCCAGCAGTGTCAGCTGTGGCAAAGACCAAGTCGTCGACGTACACGAGGATGTAGAACGGCGGCAGAGAGGTGTCGGTGCGCAGAAACAGCGACGGGTCGGCAGTGGAAGGAGCAAACCCAAGTGCCGCGAGCGTAGTCCTCAGTGTGTCGTGCCACTCACGTGGCGCCTGGCGGAGACCGTAGACTGGACGCCGGAGACTCCACTGGGTACCAGGAGGGAAAGACCCAGTGAAGCCAGGTGGGCGACGCAGCCAGATCTCCTCGTGCAGGCTGCCCTGCAAGAAAGCTATGCTGAAGTCGAGAGAGTGCAGCTCGTAGTCACGGTGAGCAGCAACGTGTAGCAGAACCCGAAGAGTGGTCATCTTCGGGGTGGGGGAGAAGGTCTGAAAGTAGTCAACCCCCTGCCGCTGACTGAAGCCACGAGCCACGTAACGCGCCTTGAAGACAGGTGGAGAACCCGGCGGCCGCTTCACCCTGAAAATCCACATGCCACTGACGATGTTCGCCCCAGGAGGGGGAACAGCGTCAACGTAGGTGCCTGTGGACTTCCAGGAAGCCATCTCTGCATCCATAGCTGCCTGCCACTGAGAGGAGTAGGGACCCTCTATCGCCTCCGCGTAAGAGCGCGGAGTCGGGATGTCTGGTGCATCCGGGTCTCCCTCAGGGGCGAGCAGTACAGACGCGAGACGAGGTGAAGCGGCGGCCAGACACTGGAACTCCTCC